ATTCTGGAAGTTGAAGTCCACTCATCTTAAAGTGGCCAAGTTTGGACAACACTGTTTTAGACTGATCAGTTTTCACTGCAGGGTTTACAAAAAGCCTTCAGAATGACTTACACTTTCAATTACTTCCGTTATCCATGAAATATAATTGGATACTAGAGTATAAGCTCCATATTTTCCCACTTCAGCACAACCTTCCCCCCAGCTGACAATCCCCAAGAGATACCAAGTATGGTGATAAGATACAGCAAATGGTCCACCACTGTCTCCTTTGCAAGCATCCTGCCCTTCTGCATCATAACCTGCACAAAACATGTTGTCCGTAAGGAGCCTCTTGGTCGACTGCCGACAGGTCTCCATACTCACAATGGGCAATCTCACTTTCATGAGAAAGCGAGTCAACCTGCCCTTAGCATACGTTGCACCCCATCCGCTAACTGTTCCACGGGCTACGTTTTCAATCAGCAAAGTAGCTAGGTTAGGGCGAGGAAGGCAGATAGGAAGTACATTCTGGCTAAAAACCACATCACTAGTCAGTTGGATCAAAGCAATGTCATTGTTGTAGTTCTCCGAGTTATACTGAGGATGTCTCCAGTAGTTCCGCACTCGCACTTTTTGCTCATCTCGTTCTCGCTGATGTTTGTCAAAGTCTCCTGAGAAGCAAATGGAAGTGTAAAAACAAACAAAAACCGAGCAGGTGCTGACAGTGAAAAACTAGGAAAGTTGAATTAAGAATAGCCTTAGTTTCAACTAGAAATAGTCCCATTCAGTGATTGAAATATTGATTCTGTAAATGAAAAATGCTTCTAAGGTATGCAGATTTTTTCTTAGACATTTCAAAAACAAGGGAGCTTCCAGATGAAGGTGTTATTGCGCAACTGTCCCGCCTTGTTTACAGAACTCTATGGGAAATTGAAATGACATCATCTTCTATTGGTAACACTCTCATTGTTCTCCCACTGGTGCTTCCAGCTTTTTTACTAATTTAAAAAAAAGGGGAGAATAGCTATATACTACCATTGGACTAATAGTTCTAGGAGTTGTCCTAGAACAAGCCAGGTGATTTCTCTGTAATAATAATAATTTATTAAATTTATATGCTGCCTGCCTGCCAACGACTCTGGGTGGTTTACAGTTGTTAAAGCATTTAAAAACAAAAGAACAATACAAAAAACACAAAAACAGTGGAAGATAAAAGAACAACAATGACAAAGAAAATAAACCCAGAGGGGAACAGAAAGAAAGAAAAAGGCATCAGTGTTCCTCTCCAAAGGCCTGGACAAACCAGGTAATCTGTTATCAGGTACATCTCCAAACTGCTCTCAGGCTGGTAAATAATCAGAGTAAAGGATCATTTTATAAAATTGGCTAAGGTGTATAGCGTTTCTCAACCTCACCAACTTTAAGATATGTCAGCTTGCTGGCTGGGGAATTCTGGGAGTTGAAGTCTACACATCTTAAAGTTGTTGAGGCTGAGTAACACTGAGGTATATGTTTGCTCACCTCTATGATTTCAAAGGCTAGAAATACATTTATTTTTTAAAATAGGAATGCGGTACCAGGACAGGAGAGCCCGCTGCCTCTTCTAGAATACATTGTGGGCCAAAAACAAGCATTACAAGACTGTAATCGTATTTGTGTCTGTCTACAACTTACCCACTGTAACTTGATGTGGGACAACGGTATCAAGGCAGTGTGCTGCAGTAAGTACCCACTGACTACTGATCAAGCTGCCCCCACAAAAACCGTAACCTCTGTTATTCTGAATCAGTACCTAGGAAGAAAAAGGATCATCTGTTATTTCCTAACCCAACGGCATATCTGTATTAATTTTCTACACTCTCAATTCAATTATTTAGCATTGAATCAGAAGCAGATGATCGTCATACACAAAAATACAGTGATGTGAAGCAACACATTTCTTCATATGCCCACAACAATACTGCAAGCCTCCTTATTCCAATATTTATACAACAGGACAGCATCCACAGCTAGTTGCCCTCCCTTGGGAGGCAAAGGGGTCATTTAAAGCCGGGTCTTGACAACTATTGAGAGGTCCTGTTTGCACTGTACTTGTTGAAAAGAGGTTCATGACCTGAGCTGAGGCTCCAGGGCTGCGTGCAGCTCTCCACAGCCTTAAATAGGCCCAGATCTCTGCAAAAGATGCTACTTAAAGTAATGTCTTGAATGTGATAGGAGATAATTATGAACTACACTGATATGATTTGCATTTCCTTTCATTTGATTTCAAGTTAAATTAAATTTGATTTTTCTGACTTCTGTGTTCTGTCTCTGTTTGCTCTTTGGAATTCATCTCCTAGATTGCCACTCAGAAATACACTTTACCCTTCCATTAAAAAAGATTGCACACTCCTGGTTCATAAAGGAACCGGCCCTGCAATTCTAACAAAGTAATATGAGGCTATTTTATCAAAGTCTTCAGGTATAATAGTATTACCTGCCAAGGACATGCTCCTGGGCGGCAGAAAGACCCTCCAATTATTCTGGGATCTTCTTCATCTGTGTAGTTGATGTTTTGCCATATGTGTAAATCCTCTTCTGTGAAATTTCCCTTTAGCTCTTCCATGTCATCATCTTCAGTTTCTCCTGTGAGGTTCAACAATCCTGAGGAAGCCCAACTTAGCGTCTGATTCCAGTTGGTCCTGTTCTCCTGAGCATTCATTTCACTTTGTTTGGTTTCCTCATAAGAACGTGTGGATTGCTTAACCAGTCCACAGGGAAAGCGCTCTAAAAGCAGGGAAATTAAACCTCTGAGTATAAGGAAGGTTGTTTATATTTTCAATATCTTAAACATTAGTATAGGGTTTCTCAACCTTGGCAACTTTCAGATGGGTGGACTTGAACTCCCAGAATTCCTCACCCAGCAAAGGGGGAATTTAGATCCTAAACCCACCCTTTTAAACCAGTAAGATGAGTCATTACCTGAGGGGGTGCAACTCTTCCCATCTTCATTTAGCGTATATCCTACTGCACAGGAGCAGATCACATGAAACGAATGTTCAGTATCTTGGCAATATTGCCAACACCCCCCATTTTTGTACCAGCATTCAAATTTCTCTGCATTGGAAAGATAAAGGCGGGGAGGGGGGAGTTCCTTGAGTCATTACTACATACTTTCTCCAACAGACAGTGCCCCTATAATAACCATTGCAAGCTATCAGTGGTGGGAACACAAATCACAATTCAACATTTTTAAAATTAGTAGAGGGACCTTCTTCAAGTTATACTTGTACCCATGTGTGTGCCTTTGAGTCAGTCCATGCAGTTTTCTTGGCAACATTTTTCAGCAGTGGTTTACCATTGCTGTCTTCCTAGGGATGAGAAAAAGTGACTGGCCCACAGTCACCTAGCCAGCTTCATACCTAAGGCAGGGCTAGAACAAACACCTCCTGGTTTCTAGCCCAGTACCTTTAACTATTAGACCAAACTGGCTCTCCAGGTTCTACTGGATTGCCAGTTTATGGCTCGTTTAGTGTTATGACTTACTCCCTAAGGAGAAAAGTTGGAATCTCACACCTTCTCTCCCAGAACCCCTTTGTTCCCAGCTTCACCACCTGTCTTGACCCAGCAGCTTGGTTGCTACCACCGCTTGCTTTCTAGGGTATGCCTCTACCTGATCTCTTCTTCAATCCCAACATGTAAGAGATAGAAGTCCCATAGCCATCTTACTAGCAAGTAGAAGGGGGAAATGTATATATAAAAAGGAAATACAATTGACAGCACCAACTGTGATATGTAGCTGGGGAATTCAGCCTGTCCTCCTTTGTGTGGAGATAATCACACAATAAATAAATAAAAGCAAACTTTATTATTTTTTTTAAAAAGAATGTTATAATTCCTTTTCACTTTAAGCAGTTACATGCAATACAGTTAATGGTAGAGGAAATAAAAATATTGGGCTGGTTAAATCACAGCACTTTAAAAGAACCTTCAGCAGAAAAATATAAAGGTAAAGATAAGACTTTGAAAACACACAAGGGCTGAGCTTGTTCAGAGACAATAAATATCAGAGGCAATAAACTGGACTCAAACACACACAACAGGAAATTAAACTCAGTGTAGCTCTTAACAAACTTTTTCCTATTCCTTTAGAGCAGTGTTTCTCAATCTTGGCAAGTTTAAGATGTGTGGACTTCAACTCCCAGAATTCCCCAGCCAGCCATGGTGTCTTAAAGTTGTCAAGGTTGAGAAACACTACTTTAGAGGATAGACAATTCTTGGAACAGTTTTTCCTCTGTGCCAATCTGTTACCTAGAAACTCCTCCTTCCTGCAAATTCCTGCTGTAACTTGAGGTTGGAGGAGATTTTTATCTCTCTTTTGCCCCACCTTGGCACACTGCTTCTTGTTCGTCTCTCTTCCGCTAGAGAACTGCCTGCACAAAATAACAAAAACATTTCCTCTTGGAGACGGAGGGGACTGTGGGGATCTCTCTTTTGCTGTGTGCTAAAGTAAGCATTTCTGCTCAGGATGACCCTGCCTGAGACAAGGGGATGTACTATATATTAATTCTCTGGGAAGCAACTGTAAATCTTGTGGATGCTAAGTGGCATTATGACAGCATATCTTTGAACAAGAGTCCAATATTATCCAGGTCCAGATAGAGACAAGGTGATCCATTTGGAGCTCTCCTTCTGGTGGATGTAGTTGTGTGCAGTAATTCACATCCAACATAGGGGGTACAGGAAAAAACACACACATTGCCTTTACAGGTACTCTCCAGTTTAAGAATGAATTCCATTCCCAAGGTCTGTCCTTAAGTAGAATTTGTCTGTAAGCTGGAACAGTATTATTGTATAATACTGTATATGTAGTAAAATGGAGGAGGCTACTGTGGGGGACAGATGTTTGTCATCAACATTGACCAGAACTTTTACTCTGTCAGAATGATACTAAAATTGATGATGGGATGGGTCTTCTCTTTGTAGAGCTTTCAATAGTCAGAGTGGGACCTCTGAAATTGGTCCTTTTCCCTGATAACACCTGCTGCATCTTATGTTTGAAGCAAAAGTCCTTTAGGATCAATTTGACAAATCTGGAACCAGGCTATTATTTTGGTTCTCTGATCCCAACTACATAACTGCTTTTCCTGACACGTGCCCTCCAAATTGCCACTTTATTCCCCTCACCAGTATGACTTTTGGCCAGCAAGATCTCACCAGGTTGGGAAAACTGCCATGAAATGTAGTATATTCCTGCAACAAACAAGATAACGAAAACTATCTGTATATGAGCAGGTAGGCTAATGTTATTCCACACTCACCTATTTCACACAGATTTCCTCCATACCTCGGGGGACAAGTACAGGAATATGTATAGCGTCTGACCTTGCATATGCCACCATTTTTACATGTATTTTCTTTACAGAGGTTGGAATCTGGAAAAAGAGAGATTGATGATACATATCAAAGCCAGATATGTATGTATGGTGATTTATTTATTAATTAAAATATTTTCTAACCCACTTCAATTTCCAATAACACACTACATAATCTAAAATATTAAAATTATAAACAACAACAAAAATAATGTCAATAAAATAAGGTATGAAAATAGATATATGGGCAATGGGGGAAGTCTGTAACAGTTCATTATACGAACAATACATTAAAATAATTCCATCATGTACCCAAACTTCTTGCCAGAGCAAAAAATCTTCAGTAGGAAAGTCAAGATTTATGGGGCCAAAGTTAGCATAGGTGTTTGTAGGCCTTAAGTTTTAATGAACAATTATTTGTGCAGAGTACACAGAAAATGAACAAAATTTCTACCTTTGTAATCGAACCAAAACTCCATCTGTAAAATAATGAAAAAAATAAAAATAGATGTGACCAGGCCAAACCACTGTTACAGATTAACTTAAACAATTCAGTTTAAATATTTAATTCAGATAGGTATGATTTAAAATCAAGCTGGTTCTGTAGAAGAGTTCTGCACAGAAGGCGGATCTGGCTGTCTGGGTGATTTGCATAGAGTATAAGGATTCCAAGCATAAATATAAATATTTTATTATTGACAAATACAAATATATACAATACCCACTTCTGAATTATTCTAACCTTCACACACACATGAGTATAAAGATCTCTAAAAGCTCTAAAAGGCCTGGATTTTTTCTTGAGGTTGAAAGATCCCTTGTCAGTTTGTTAAGGGAAGGGCTCGTCGTAATTCAAACACCAGTTTGCTCCAAAGTAAGACTCTACACAATTTATTAATGCTGCTAAATGTGTCTGTATCTGCAGGAGGTGTCTGGTTGAAATGATTCACCTTCAGCCTCAGTTATGTCACTGAGACTAAAAAGCAAGTGTATTCAAGCATGGCAAGATTAGTCTGAGCACTGTTCAGATTTGGCATTTGAAGCAAACTGCTGAGTGTAGAATTTTTTCTTAGATTAAGCCGTCTGAACCAGTCTTCTATTAAAAAAATAATACAGCTTCCACAACCTTGAAGCTAACCCAGACTGATGTGGATTATTACACTCCATTGTGTTAATGCTTTGTCTTATCATTTCCTCCTTACATAGCACAGCTGACCTGTTCAAAGAGGATTTGGGCTATAGGAATAAAAGGTCAAAATTCCCACACTTCTTTAGTGAGACATCCTGTAAGACCTGTAGGAGGCGGAGGACAAATGACAGGAAACCATGATTTCAGTATGTGTATGAAGGTATGTATATAGCTCCAATTTAGGTATGTGAGGATTTGTCAGCTGACTCTTTGAAGAAATAGAAATGTTTATTCCAGCCACTGAAAGCCAGAAGATTGCTGGTTCTTGTATGTTTAATTAATTATTATATTTATTGATTTTAATGTTGTACCAAATTATTGTGAATTTTAAATGTTTTAACAATAACTATAGGAATATCTGAGAGCCAATTTGGTGTAGTGGTTAAGGCAAAGGCTGGAAACTGGGAAACTGTGAGTTCTAGTCCCCTCTTATCCCAAAGCCAGCTGGATGACTTTGGGCCAGTTGCTCTCTCTCAGCCCTAGGAAGCAGGTCATGGCAAACCACTTCCGAAAAAAATTTGCTAAGACACCTGCACGGACTTCTCCAGGCAGTCACCAGGAGTCAACACTGACTTGAAGGCACAAATAACAACAACAACAAAACATTCCTATTTTGAGGAATCAGCAGTTTCTATGAGATATCTGGGTAGATGCATTTTCCTTTCACAGTTGCAACAATTAGTTGGATGTGCCTCTAATTCCATTGCTCACCGTTTTCTCCTTTGACTTGAAAATCTCTTTTGCTTCCTCAAACGAACACTGTTCCTCTCTGCATTCTCTTTCCAAATTTCCTGGGAGAATCTCCTCCAAGAAGGTATTAGCACGTTTCTGAACTCTCAGAACCTGGTTTGCCTCCTCTTTTTTCATAAATACTGTCGACGAAGAGTAAGATATCACTATGAATCCAGTTTCTTCCATTCAGAGTGAAATATATATTTATATTCCCACTGAACACATTGGTTATACAGAATTCTATAGGGCTAAAATGTGTGAAGAAGACATTTGGTCATTTTTCCTGTGCTTGATATGAAAAAAATGATCCATAAAGGAAATATATTTAAAAACATGTAATTGAGTTTCATCTCCAAAATTCGTATCGGAGCAACACTTATGAAGTTAAAATGGGTAGCATTGTTCTTGAACTAACAATCAGAAACATATAGGATTAAATATAACTATGGTTGTTAATATGAGGTCCATATTGTGATTATTAGTAATGAATAATAGGTACCTGATAACGAATGTGAAAAGATGATGAAGCAGCAGATTAATAAAGTCAAGATTGGCCCCAAAGAAGTTCTAGCCATTGTATATCCAAAGTGAATAGCAGAACGTACTGATTTGTAGATAGTCACCTACACATAGGAAACAAGACTAAACAAGGTATTCCTCAAGCACCTGAGATGAGAAAGAGAGAACTAGAGAGTTAGAATTATGTGTATGTGAAAAACAAAGATGGGGAATAGGAGAAAAGGATACAAAACTAGACATAAAGGGAATAGGAAGCAATTTTTTTTTTTTTTTGGTGTCCATTAATATATTTGGATATCTTCTAAAACCAGAAATTAGATTTACTGGAATAATAACTCAGGTACTCTGCTCTTACAGCAAAATTAACATGTTGAGGAAGATGGAAGTGTCTGTTTTAGTGATCTGATGCACTAGCAATGGCTATATACCATGTGTACAAGTGAGAAAATGTCTGAAGAAAAGAATAGTAGTGCAAGGAAACAGGGACCACTTCCTTTTAATCTCCTGTTAAAACTGAAGCCTGTAGGAGGCGTCCTATGGGAACATATTGCATTTCATTTTTTCTAACAGCTGTTGATTATGCTCATTTCATCAAATAACTATTGGCATCCAACAACAGAAACTTTGTTGCACAGGAAAGAAAGTACATATTAAGAGGAAGAAATAAACAAGAAAAAATACCAGGCAATTCTAAAGGAAACAGTCTCTCGTTTTTTTGTAGCAAATTAGGAACGTTGTGCTTACCTGATTAGGAAGGCCAAAGTGCTATTTAGATCAGCTACCAAAGAAAGCTATTGGGAATTACATGTTGATGATTAAACTATTGCAAATATTGACTTGGAAGTTTGGGTCTCAGGATGCTATGGCAGGAAAACACTGCAGCCCAAAAATTTTAAAGTTAATCGGATTCTGAAAATGCTATTCCTCACCCATGGCCTCTTCTTTTATAACCTTCACATTTTAAGGGAATTTGGGGGGGGGGTGCTTTGCCTATGTTTTATTTATCACTACACAACTAATTTTTTGGAAGACATTGGAACTTTCCCACAAAACCTTTTATCTCACTGAGATGTACTTTTATCCCATTGAGCTATAGTTATTCATTTATTTTGATAATATTCTGCTTTTAGCACATGCCAATACCTTGAATTAAAAGTCCTCCTCAACAAGTTTAATAGCTGGTAGATAATTCATATACATATCTATATCAGTATGTGTATCGGCATGTATCAGAGCTTTAGGGGAGGAGAACTGCCTCAAGTCACAAACATGGAAAGGACTCCATCTAAAATATTTGAAATAAGATGGATCAATAATGTTTACTCCTAAAAAATGTAATTTAAATATAATCTTCCCAAATATTCAAATATTATAAGTTCACTTGGTCATTGACATCAACAGAACAAAACAAAATGGAAAATTACTCTGACATAAGAGCCTATTGAAAAGTGAGGCATGGGCTTGACAGAACATGGATCTGAATCCTAAAATGGCCCAGAGCAAGACAACTAGCCACACGAGGAGCTACTTGTGATAGCAGTAGAGAACAGTAATGCCCCATACACCTTTAAGGTGATTGGATTACAAATATAAAGCTTTAACATGTGTTCCCCTGTTTGAGGGGCTTCCTTCTAGGAAGCAGATTTTGATGTGCAGTCTTATATCCAGGGAGGGCAACTTACAGCTCAGGAATGGGGAAGGGAAAGAGAATAGATGGCAGAATATGGAGGGTACATAAGTACGCTCATGTGAATACATGAAACTAATAGGGTAACAGTTCTAAATGAATAATGTAGGAGTTAATCCACACAGCCATGGGCTTCATCCCCACAAATTCTCTGCGGTACTTATGTGACAGTGCATGAGCATCTCCTTCCTTCTCCTTCTCCTTCTCCTTCTCCTTCTCCTTCTCCTTCTCCTTCTCCTTCTCGTTCTCCTTCTCCTTCTCCTTCTCGTTCTCCTTCTCCTTCTCCTTCTCGTTCTCCTTCTCCTTCTCCTTCTCGTTCTCCTTCTCCTTCTCCTTCTCGTTCTCCTTCTCCTTCTCCTTCTCGTTCTCCTTCTCCTTCTCCTTCTCGTTCTCCTTCTCCTTCTCCTTCTCGTTCTCCTTCTCCTTCTCCTTCTCCTTCTCCTTCTCCTTCTCCTTCTCCTCCCCTTCTTCCTTCCCTCCCCTTCCCCTTCTCCTTCTTTGTTTCTCATGCTGACCAGCGCTCCTTCCAGCAGAACAATGGGATAGAACAAAACAGTTCCAAACTCAACAACTACTCAAGGGAGTGGCAAAGTCTTCTCAGGACACCCAGTATGAGGAAGCTGTGGCTAGATATTATGGTGATTTGATGCCAGAAGGGAAGGGGAAATACAAAGGAACTGGGAGACTGGATGAGATGGAAGCTTCTGCTACCCACTCAGCACTCACTCTGCAGCTCCAGAGACAGGGGTGTCTGCAGGGGGCATAAAATGCAGTGAATGGAAATATCAGCAGATGTTGATTTATCCATTAACTTAAACTATATTTGTTTCATAAAGTAAATAGAAACTGGTGATCAGTCATTCTACATGTGCAATGACTGTTCAATCATTACTTCTAAATATATATAGGTTCTTTTGATACCGATATTATGTACTTCACAATGTTATAAGTGCTGTCACAAGGGCTGTTAAGGGGACAGAATCAATATTATTAGCTATTGCATTACTCTACATTTAAGAGCACTAGTTGGCATATTCTCAATAAACTAATTAAAAGTATAAATGTAATAATTGTTTTTAATTCAGGAGTGCCACAGACCATTCTAGTACATTCTTCTGCAACCTGGTGCCCTCCAGATGTATTGGGGCATAACTAATCTGTGCAGGCTGATTCAGCATATATCCTCCTGCTTATTTATTTGTTGTAAAAACAACAAAATTAAAACAACATGTGATCCAAATTGCAAAAACAAAATCAAAGCAGGAGAGAAAAATGATGAAAGCAAGAGACACATATGATTACTGAAAGGCTCTTAGAAAAAAGCCCCAGTGTAGGATGACAAGGAGCCCCTTCCTATATGATCTAGCAGGATAGGCCGAATCCGGCTGGAAGAGGTCATCCTGTAGTTACCCAAGTCATGGAGGGCTTTAAAGGTTAAGAGCGCCACTTTAAATTGTACTTGGAACTGAATAGTACAGGGGCTGCAAATAGGTGTACTGTAAGATGCTCCCAACTTCAGAAACCAGTTAAGACATGAGCCACTGCATTCTGTACTACTAATAATTTCTGAATAGTCTTTAAAGGCAGCCCCAAGTAAAGCACATTGCAATAGTCTGTATAGGTGGTGCTGACAGCATGAGGTCCTGATTGACAGTATTAAAGACTGCTGAGAGGTCTAAAAGGATAATAAGAAGTGCAGTACCCCTGTCCAGATCCTGATACATATCTTCCAGGAGAACAACTACTGCCTTCTCAATTACATGCATAGGCCTGAACTCAGACTGAAAAGGGTCTAGGTAATCCACTGCTTCTAGGGTGCTGTTAGCTGATTTACCACCACCATCTCAACAACCTTCTCCAAAAAGGGAAGGTTGGAGACTGGATAATAATGTTGAAGACCATAGGATTGAAAGATGGCCTCTTCAGCAAAGGTGCCCCATGGCCTTCTTCAAGGCAGCCAGGAACTGTCCCCCATAAAAGGAGGCATTAACAATCTCACTGTTCCACCTGGTCACTTCTCCACCCATCCCCCAGAGCAGCCATGTTGCAGAAGACTTCACTTCACTTCACTTCCTTGGAGCTCAGAGGCCATGATAATGTTCTGGTCCCCGCTACAGACTATGCCCATGTGGAAGTAAGACTGTGGCAAATCCAGGCAGTGTTGTTAGTGTGCAAATTTGCTGTACAAGTTGGTCACACTGTAGGGCAAGATATTTCTCTAATGACTCCTCCCTAATAGGGAGTTAATAACCTTAAACAGGGCCATTGGATGACAGCTAACTAATGCAATAAGGGAGGAGAAGTATGTCTATTTCACCTCCCTTGTCACCACACTGTAAGCACAAACATGGGCATATACCCATCCTTGACTGAGTTTGCTTTCCATCTTTCTCCATTGGCACTCCAGACCTCATCTCTTGGAGGGTCTCAGTAAATCAAGGCACCAACTGGAAATGGCACCCAGAAAGAAGCCACTGACGGGCAATAGAGTGCAGTGCCCATTTCGCATCCTGATGCCTGTGGTTGACCATGTTTTGAACTGAACTGTCTGCCAAACAGCTGGGAAAGTCCCCAACTGTTCTCTTGAAACCAAGATTGTTCTAAAATCAGGATTGCATAGAAAATTTTTGCTGGATCTGACCAAAGTGAGTTTGACCAACTTTCTTTGCAAAAGATCTGTGATATATCTTCTAAGTACCTGTAGTATGCAAGAAAGTGAAACCATTGAAGAAATGCAACACAAAGCACAGGATCACTTGCATGTTCTGTTTTTATTAATCACGAGCATAGTAATTTTATGATTTCATTTTCTCACTGATCCAGTCAAGATATGAGCTGATCTTAGTGTAGATTCCAAAATTATTTGGATTCCCACAGCCTTCTCCCCAACTCACTAGTCCAACTAGGAACCAGGTGTTCTTGAATTTTACAACCATAGGACCACCACTGTCTCCATGGCAAGAATCTCGTATATCTCCCTGTATCCCTGCACAGAACATGTTATCTGTAAGAGAATGCCACATAGCATGGGTACACTCATTCCGTGATGCTACAGGGATTTCAATAAACTTGAGAACAGAGGAGTAATTCTTCCTTTTATCCTCACTCTGGCTTCCCCAGCCCGTCACTATTGCTTGGGTCCCTTCTGCCATCAACTGTTGATTTGCCAGGTTTTTGGTAGGCAGGCAAATTGGCACAGTATACTTATTGACAACAACCGGTTGGGATAGATGTAGTATTGCAATGTCATTATCAGAGGTGTCTGAAGAGTAATTTTCATGAGGCAATAGCTTGTCAGCAATGATAGTTCTTTCACTTTCATCTATTCGCCGTCGGTGATATTTACCTGTAAGAGCAACATAAAAATTGGGAAAAGATACTATTTCCTTGAAACTAAGCCAAGCCTATCTTTCTCAAAACAGTTTAATAAAGGTGGTACTTTTCTCTGAATCTTAGGATAAGCAAACTCCAAACTATAATAGGAATAAATAGCTATACAATTATAAATCACATCCAGTATCCCTATAGAATTTGCATGCAGTAGGAAAATTGCATACTATATTGTTCTTGTCAACCCAAAGAACAGAGGAGGCAAAGGAGAAAGGAAAGGAAGAAGGAAGTATATACATAACAGAATTGGATGGAGAAAATCAGAATAGAAGTGGGGAGACGTAAGACCATTCGTTTTCTCTATAGCTCACTGGTTGAATAGGATAGGAGATGCAAGAAAACATTACACACATTTCACTTTTTCAAACCAAAATATGAGCTACAGGTATCTAGTCAAGAGATAAAGTATGTGAATATTGGATATTTTAAAAAAATTAAGAAAAGCCTGCCTGGATCAGATATTAGATTTCTCTAATCTAACCCAGCATTTTCTTCCTACTGTGACCAAACAGTGCCTCTGGGAAGTCTGCAAACAGCCTCCTCTTTTGTTTCTCTACAGCTAGCACTGAGTGATAGACTGTCTCCATAGTAGCTAATTACATTGGTGACTTTGTCAAATCCCCCCCCCCCCCCACCTTCAAGCCATCCAAGTTAATATGGGCAGCATTATATCTTGTGGTAGGGATTTCATAGTTTAAATTGAGGCTGTGTCAACATGTCCTCCTTTATCAGTCTTTCATTTCTCACCACTGCGCTTCATTAAATAATCTCAAGTTCTAGTATTGTGAGAAAGGGAGAAAAACTCCCAACCAATTTTATTACACTGTGTGTAATTTTATACATTGGTATCATGTCCCCAGCTTACTTGCTGTCTAAGCCCCAAAGCCCCTAATGTTCCTTTCCTCAGAGTGGAATTATTCCAACCTTTTAACCATTTCATTTGTCTTTTCTGTGGCTTCTCAAGATTTGCTGACCAACAAACAGAAAAAAAAAATCATATTTGTAATGTGTACCCCACTGCCGTGCAGTCTGGTCAGCATCAAAATGAACAAATAAAAGCTAACAATAATTACAATTACATGGAAGTAATAAATTAAATATGCACCATAATATAGCCACGGTCAAAGCAAAATAACTCACACAACAATAAAACCATAACTCTATAAACCCAATAAAATTGCAGTTTCCCCTTAAAGAGAATTAAAGAGTGAACTTGCCACTCAACTAACATAGTAGATCCTTACAACGCCACCCCCCCCCCACTTTCCTGGTGTATCTGAAACCATCTATGGCAGTATTGTCCAAACTTGGCCACTTTAAGATGAGTGGACTTCAACTCCCAGAATTCCCC